TTTTTTTTTAAATAAACAACAGTGCAGCCATCCATATTTAATTTGTGCATGGTGCACCTAAACAAACATATTTCTATAGACCATTTCCCCCCAATTGTCCATTCTCAAGAACCATTGACAATCAAAGAAGAAGTTACTCATACGAATGGATCAATGGTTGGATTCATTAAGACAGACCAATGTTATTATTTATATCACACCATTATTATTTTTACAAATAACTCAAGGCAGGGAACGCATCCAACACACTTTCCTCCTCCTATTTTCCACACAACAACCCTGTGAGATGAGTTGGGCTGAGAGAGAGGGACTGGTCCAAAGTCTCACAGTTGGCTTCCATGCCTAAGGCGGGACTAGAACTCACCCTCTCCTGGTGACTGGCCCAAAGTCACCCAGCCAGCTTTCATGCCTAAGGCGAGGCTAGAACTCACTGTCTCCTGGTAATTGGCCCAAAGTCTTCCAGTTGGCTTTCATGCCTAGGGTGGGACTAGAATTCACCGTCTCCTGGTGAATGGCCCAATGTCACCCAGCCAGCTTTTATGCCTAAGGCGGGACTAGAACTCACCCTCTCCTGGTGACTGGCCCAAAGTCACCCAGCCAAATTTTATGGGTAAGGCGGGATTAGAACTCAGTGTCTCCTGGTGACTGGCCCAAAGTCACCCAGCCAGCTTTTATGCCTAAGGCAAGACTAGAACTCAGTGTCTCCTGCTTCCTAGCCTGGTGCCTTAACCAATTATGGCAATCTTCTCCTAGCTTGTCCCTCACAACACGTCCCCACGTGTGGACCACTTGAATATGTGAATTGTCCCTTGCTCCTCGTCCGATTCAGAGCCTTCTTTGAAGCCCAGCCATCAGGAGAGATGGGAAATGCCTATTATTGTTCTCAAGTACACAGATGCCACAGATTGTGAAGTTGGCGGCTTGGCTCCTCTGCCACATGTTTCCTATCACAAGGCCCTGTACAATAATATCAGAAGATTTCTTTCCCCCACCCCACCCCACCCCCTTTCATTTGAAACAGGAACCAAACTTTAAAGTTTAGGAAACCAAACAACCCGGGATAAAAATATCGCTCCAAATTGGCCACGTATGTGGGGAAAGGAAATTTCAGGGGATAACTAAAATGACCGTAAAGTCGCGTTGTACAAAAGACAGTGAGAATTAAAGTTATGCTTAGTTTGCAGATTTGAATTTCCCAGGTTCTCACAGAGATTTCCATTTTTTCTGGACATTGGGGAAAAGTGATTTAAAAAGAGCAACCATTGAACATTGTCCAAATTGCAGGTGTGAAGTATTGTTTTAACTCTCCAGATGTGCTGTAGAATTTACTATATGAATGCAGTGCGTTTATTGAATTTGGAAATTGCCCATTTCCCTCATTCTGCAACCGAAATATAGGCCGAATTTGTGCATTCAGCCCCCAAAATAATGAGAAGGCTGGAGGCAGTTTCTAAATAAAAGAAACAACCATGGGTTGTTCAGCTGATTTGTAAATCAGCTCTTCTGTCAATAACCAGAAGAAATGGACATAGTAAGTAAATAAATTAGTCCCAATTCTGAATTCACTCCTAATAATAAGCTCTCGACAAAACCATTCAGGATTCTTCAGCCAACTATGGTTTGTTTTCAATAGTTTAAGCAATTATTTTATCCTGGTTAAACTAAAGACAAACAACGTTGTGGCTTAATATCCTGCAAGAACCAGCTCACAAGGCGGTGAATAATAAACCACAATGCTAATACACTTACGTTAACACCTATAGATCTGGGTTAAGGAGAGCTTTGCATTTTGCCCCAACTTACGTAAAAAGATTCTTGCTGTTGCCAATAACATGATCTTTTGGGACAGCTGGGAAGCTAAATTAAATATTTTCGAAGCAACATCTGCTCTATCTAGAATGGTGTTAATTTGCATCGACGTCGATGTTGTCTTTGTTTGGTTTGGTTCGAGAAAGGAACATGCACAACATGCTTAACAATCTGCAAAGCTAATTTTCTGCGGTCTGGCTAAACTTTTCCAAGTGTCGTGGGTTCGCTGAGGCGCCAAGGAAAGTCGTCCTTGACACTCGCCTTTGTGCTTTGTGTCGTTCCACACTGCCAAATAAACAAACAAGGCCGACATGTTGTTTAACGTTTGTTCGTCGAACAAAAATTACGAATTTGAACCAGCAAGATGAAAAAAATTAAAATGTGGCAGGAACGATAGTGCACTTACGCACGGTCCCATTTTGGAATTTGTTTCTCGGTCTGTTCTTTTTTTTTTTTTTTTTTTAAGAGGGGTAGCATTATTTTAAATTGGTTCTCCCCAAAAAGAGTTTCCTTCCATTCTTCATCTAAACATAAGCAAGCACGCGTTCCAAAATAATATTTCATCCCAGGACTTTTTGTACATGAATTAATAGTTTTATTGGCAGAACGTCAAATGCCAGAGCCCACCACAAGCAATATTTACGACTAAAGGACATTCTCCTATATTATATATTGGAAACTTCTGAAATAACGCATTTTATCCTTGATTGTTGTTTTTTTTTAATGCTTATGGATGGGACAGATTAAAGAGTTTCCTTTTTCTGTTTGAAGGAGAAGCCAGAATGCGGCAAGACCCCTTTTCACAGGCCCCGTCTACCATTCCACAAAATATCTTAGATAGGAATGCTAACTTATAAAATAAAGAATAATACATTGTTTCTGGTCTTGCATGATACCCAGTTTTTTTCCCTCCCTTGATGGTCCTTTCTCTCCTTCCTCCTACAATTTTTTTTGTTGCTTTGTTTATTTCCAAGGGCGTAGTTCTGGGTCTTAATTAAACAGAGCTAGGAATTGTAAGCTAACCAGAGTCATTGATTGAGATGGGCAGCTAGAGGGAAGGAAGGAAGGGAGGGAGAAAGGGAGGGAGGGAGGGAGGAATGGAAGGAGGGAGGGAGGGAAGAAGGAAGGGAAAGAGGGAGGGAAGAAGGAAGGAAGGGAAGGAGGGAGGGAGGGAAGGAGGGAAGAAGAAAGGGAGGGAGGGAGGGAAGAAGGAAGGGAGGGAGGAAAGAAGGAAGGAAGGGAAGGAGGGAGGGAGGGAAGAAGGAAGGGAAGGAGGGAGGGAGGGAGGGAAGAAGGAAGGAAAAAGGGAGGGAAGAAGGAAGGAAGGAAGGAAGGAAGGAAGGAAGGGCATTTAGGTACTTTGGGGAACTGTTCCTAAATGAGACACTATGAGGCAGGGACACCCTTAATCCAGCTCTGATCATAAGAGCCAAATGTGCTGAGAGCATAAATGAATGTAGCTACTGTCACGCTGATGCTGCGTAACACACTGTTGATGCTCTCTTGGAAGATGATCTAAGTACTAAATTGCCCCTTATGTTAACCAAATGCATCATTAAAGCAGCCATTTCCCTTTCGAACAAAAAGCAACTCCTGGCTCTTGATCCATAGGGATGTTCCCGGTCCATATCAGAGCCTCCCCCAAAGGACCATCTTGCCCCAGAAGGTGCTGTTGAGAACAAATCAACCATGCTCTTCTCTTGACTCCTGTGGCCGGTTAAGGCTGTGACCGGATCCCCTCCTGGCCCTGAACTGCGAGGGATCCAAATCTATTTCAACCTCATTGAACCCAGCTGAGGTTTCATCTAACTTTTTAAAATTCCAATGCAATGTCAGAAATAACTCTCCTTCCCCCCGCCTTTTTTCCCCCCCAGTATACGATTTACAGTGGTCAGTGACCCTCCGGAGGATCAGCAGGATCTGGACTGTGAAGATATTGGCTTTGCTTACGTGAGTTTAAGCCAGATCTTCCAGCAAAGGCAAGACCTTATTGACCGAGACATTGATGGTAAGTCCAGGGTAGTTCTTCCAACACCAGTGTCTCCAGCTTCCCAATTCACAAATCCTTAAGGATATTAAGTACCTAAGATCTAATATTATGAATGTCTTCGGAGATTCTCGGTCATCCAGGTCATCGTTATCCCAAAGATGCTTTTTTTCACGAGGCATCTGGACTTCCTTTTTCTTTGAAGACATTTCGCTTCTCCTCCAAGAAGCTTCTTCAGCTCTGGCTGGATGGTGGGGTCAGAGCTGAAGAAGCTTCTCGGAGGACAAGCAAAACGTCTTCAAAGAAAGTCCAGTTGCCTCCTGAAAAAGCATCGTTGGGATAATATTACGGATGGTGTCCACACGTCCTTAAGCAAAAAAAGGCATTAAGAATCGTTGACGGTTGATAGTTGATCGGTCTCACCTTGAAAGAAAACATCCAAATGCCTTAATTCAAACGTGGGTTTTCTGGGCCAACTTCCTTCTAAGGCGTCTCAAGTACAGGTCATTCTCAGTTTACAATACTTTGTTTCGTAACTGTTCGAAGTTACAGTGGCACCGGACAAAATGACCTCCGACAGCTTCCAACAAGCAAAGTCAAGTGGGGGAATTGGCCTAACTTCTTCATGACTCGCTTAACCGCAGTGACTAAATCTAAAGAAACAGGTAGATCAGGGATCTTGTTAGTTCCCAGCAACAAGTCAGAAGGATTCTTTCTCAGCAGCACAAGAAGAACAAAAGTAACTTTTGAAAAAGACTAGTCATGTACATGTAGTCCTCAACTTATGACCACAGTTGAGCCCAAACTTTATGTTGCTGAGTGAAACATTTGTTAAGTGAGTTCTCCCCATTTTATGACCTTTCTTGCCACAGTTGTTAAGTGAATCAGTGCAGATGTTATGTTAGTATCATGGTTGTTAAGTGGATCTGGCTTCTCCATTGACTTTGACTGACCAAAGGTCACAAAAGCAAATCGTGTGAACCCGGGGACGTTCAGCGACGAAGGACCCAAAAGCTCAGGAAATGGGGCACGACTCGTTTTAACGACCCCACGGCTTAAGCAAGGGGTATTCTGTTCCCAGGGGTTGTGATCGTCCGTGGAGGACCTCTCCGTTACGTGAGAAGGTCAGATGGAAGTTTCCCTCCAAGACAATCGAAACGAACGAGCTAAAACATTAATCTCAGTTTCAGAAGGACAACCTTTTGTTTGCCGATTTCTTTTTAAAGATTTTTTGCTTTTCGAAAGAGACAGGAAAAGGGTTTTCCCAGAAAACTGGCAGCTTGGCCTTAGGGTCTTGACCCTGTCACCTCCTAAACAGACCACCGAGGCTCCGTGGTTTGGCCTGGGATCCCTGTTGCTCAGGCTGGGCCATCGTTTCAGCCTCTCTACCCAAGAGCAGGTCCCGATGCTCCTTAGAAACACGGAGCCTGAAGGCTCGCAGACATTTAATCAATCTCCCTCTGCCTCCCTCTCGTTCTTTTTTTTTTTTTTTTTAAGCCTGTCCCAAGTCCTTTTTCGGTGTCCATCAGAGATGCAGAAGTTAAGATGTCCGTCAATCTGCTTCTTGATGGGTCATTTCTCTTTTCTGCCCTTTTTTTTCCCCTCTCCAGTTTTCAATTTGCAAGACGACAGAGTGGTGATCGGGAAGCTGAGAGTGACGGTGGAAGCCTTGGCGGCCCTCAATTCAGTCTGGAAGAAACGCGGAAAGGCCCAGGAACCCTGAACCTGGAGGCCTGGGCCTGTCCGGTGGAAAGCAAGAGAAGATAGTACCTTATATTTAAATGTATAATTTGTATGTAAAGCCTGCTGGGTTTGCGGTGTAAAGTTTGTATATTTTTGCCTCCTCGGTTTGAACGGATGTTTTTCGATTTCTCTCCGTCTGTCCCCAGCCCAGGGCTATCATTCCGGCCCATCAGCCTGAAAATAATTAATATCCACGTGATTGAACGGTGGACCTTTTTGTTAATTGGATATATGTATATACAGAGAGAGAGAGAGACTTTTGTCTAGTGTGTGTGTGCATGTGTGTGTGTGTAAATATATTCCACATACAAAAGTCATGAAAAATCAAGTAATTGTATAATAATACTACTAATAATAATAATGCACTTAAGCCTCAGAAAACTGATTAAAAATACCTCTATGTTATCCCTAATCACACCCCACTAAATGGAATGTATGCGATTAGCCTCATTAAGAATTTTATACTGCAAAGCTTTTATTAGAAGCAATATATGAAAATTACTTGGATAAATGTGTTAATCTGCCTCTTTAAAATGCTAATATCCATTTTATGCACATTAAGTCTCAGTATGCGTTTTCTTTGATGCATGCCATTTCTATCAATTAAATACAAAGAATGAGGCTAGTCCCCAGATTTATTAAATTACTGCAAGCTTTTATGAAAAAAAGAGAGAGAGAGAGAAAGAAACACACAACTTTTGCCCTTCTGCTAACAGTTGAGATTATCAAGTTTGGAAGAGGGGGGGGGGTCCCATAAATGGTGCTTGTGGATGTGTACATGGGTGTCTAGAAAGGGAGGGTCATCTGTAAGCAAAATAGATTTACATATATCAACCACGTATTAATACCACTTTACAATGCCTTGGTAAGGCCACACTTGGAATACGGCATCCAGTTTCGGTCACCACGATGTAAAAAAGATGCTGATACTCTAAAAAGAGTACAGAGAAGAGCAACAAAGATGATTAGGGGACTGGAGGCTAAAACACATAAGGAATGGTTGCTGGAATTGGGTATGTCTAGTTTAATGAAGAGAAGGATGAGGGGGGACATGATAGCAGTATTCCAATATCTCAGGGGCTGCCCCAAAGAAGAGGGAGTCAAGCTATTCTCCAAAGTGCCTGAAGGCAGGATAAGAAGCAACCGTTGGAAACTGATCAAGGAGAGAAGCAACCTAGAACTCAGGAGAAACTTCCTGACAGTTAGAACAATTAACCAGTGGAACAACCTGCCTCCAGAAGCAATGAATGCTCCAACACTGGAAGTTTTTAAGAAGAGACTGGACAGCCATTTGTCTGAAATGGTATAGGGTTTCCTGCCTGAGCAGAGGGTTGGACTAGATGACCTCCAAGGTCCCTTCCAACTTTATTGTTGTTGTTGTTGTTGTTGTTGTTATTATTATTATTATTATTATTATTATTATTATTATTATTATTATTATTATTATTATTATTATTATTATTATTATTATTATTATAGTGTTTTACACTTCAGGCTTAGCTCGTCCTCCCCTTCTCTGCTTGGTCTACGTTCCTCCCATTTAGATCATATTTATATACAGGATACAAAGTAGTCCTCGACTTAACGATTGTTCATTTAGTGACCATTCAAAGTTACAACGGGACTGAAAAAACCGACTTACGACCATTTTTCACAGTTACGGCCGTTGCCGTCTACCCAGGGTCACGTGATCCAAATTCTGACACTCGGCAACTGACTCATATTTATGACGGTTGCAGTCTCCCTCTGGATCATGTGATTCCCCTTTTGCAAACTTCTGACAGGCAAAGTCAACGGGGGAAGCCACTTAACGACCCCATTATTAATAACTGCAGCGATTCGTTTAACAACGGTGGCAAGTTAAGGTCATTAAAACGGGGCAAAATTCACTTAAGGGCTGTCTCCCTTAGCAGCAGAAATTTTGAAGGTAGATTGAGGACTACCTGCTTAGCCTGGAAATTTACAACTTTCCAGCCACGCTGATGAAAGATTTAAACGAAAATTGCAAGGGACAGGTAACATTTAAAAAACACACACACACAAAAAAAAAACCCACACAGAAAAATAAGAGTCGGAAGGAGCTACTAATAACACTGGGCCCAAAGCCCTCTGCTCACTTCTGTGAAAGAGAAGTGTATTATTTCCAGGAGCAATTTGTTTGTTTGTTTGTGTGTGTTTGTGCATGTGTGTGTGTGTGTATTATTTTCAATTCTTTAACTGGGGATTTTGTCCGGGAAGAGCGCCCCCCACCGTTTGCAAAAGCAGGCGATCTTTCTTTTTTTTGTGAGCATATGTAAAGTATTCGGGAAGATAAGTAATTTATTAAAATCCACCTAATTTGCCATGATATATTAAATCTCTGCTTCAGTGATCACAGACCATTTCATTTAGAGAATTAGGCATTCCCTCTTTGTGTGATTAAAGGTCTGGAAAATGAGTTCTTTGCTGCTATTTGTGAACACTCCGAGCCTGCTAATGGCGAGGAGATGGAATAGATTATGAGACAATTCATTACGTTCAGCAGAAAGAGCAGAGGAGGGGAGGGCAGGCAGACAAAATATGTTCTTTTTTTAAAAAAAAAGAGAAGCACAAGGGGGAAGATCTGCATATAGTTGGAACCATCCGGGCCCAGAGTTAGTCCTCGACTCCCAGCTATTCGTTTAGTGGCCGTTCGAAGTTACAACGGCACTGAAAAAAGTGACCTATGGCTGGTTTTCACGCGACCGTTGCAGGCTCCCTGTGGTCACGTGATCAGAATTTGGGCACTTGGAAACTGGCCTGTACTTGTGACAGTTGCCCTGTCCCGGGGTCATGTGATCACCATTTTGTAACCTTGCCAGCTGGCTTCCGACAAGCAAAGTCAACGGGGGAAGCCAGTTTCACTTAACAACTGCATGATTCACTTAACAACAGTGGCCAAAAGGGTTGTAAAATGGGCACCTCATTCCACCACCGTCTTGCTTAAAAATGGAAAATCTGGGCTCAGTTGTGTTAGTAAGTCAAGGACCACCTGTAATAATGGTTTCAGTTATGTGTCTTCCTAGAGTAGCAACCTTGCAGGATTAATTTGTGGATGTATATCAGGAGGCCAATATCTTGTTGATTAAGTTAGAACAATTAAGCAGTGGAACAACTTGCCTCCAGAAGTTGTGGATGCTCCATCACTGGAGGTTTTTAAGAAGAGACTGGACAGCCATTTGTCTGAAATGGTATAGGGTTTCCTGTTTCAGCAGGGGTTGGACTAGAAGACCTCCAAGGTCCCTTCCAGCCCTGTTATTTTGATTTGTTTATCAGGCTTGTCTGCTACCCATCTCACCAAAGATGACTTGAATATCTTGGCCACAAAACCCGCAGAATTCTGCCTTTGGAATTTTTACTCCCTCTTTCTCACTCATAAGGGATTGTTGACTATCTCGGAGGATTAAACTCTGCAAGTTCCCACCAATATTTGCACTGTCAAGAGACGTTCTAGGAACCGCAGATGCCGAATTTCCAAGGTCTCTTCCATTCTTCTCAAACAGGCAGACATTGGTGTTCTCGCTTGCTCTGGATTCAGCTCATTGTCGTTGGCCCACATTTCCTCGTATTCTTTGGCTTCCCACCACACTATTGTCATTAAGGCTCCTTCTTATACATTACGATAATTAAAAACAGTTCGATTTGACACCAAGATTAACCCCGAGCTTTTCAGAAAGGCGGTTGTGGTATTTCGGCAGGAGGTTTTGATTATTTGCCTAATATTTTGCAACCTCCAAAGAAAATACTTTCCATGAAAAAGAAATTAATCAGGAGATTTAAGACCTATTCCCAACTGTGGATCAGACTCTGGTGCGGCTGTGCAGTTGAAGGTTCAAGGCAGAGGTGCCCAACTTTGCAACGTGAAGACTTGTGGCCTTCAACTCCCAGAAATCCCCAGCATCCTTGCTCCACACGTTTTGTTGGAGGTTGTCAAGTTGTTGAGGTTGAGAAACTCTTCTGGGGCCTTCTGCTGCCGCAACAGTCCGACTTTTTCAAGTTGATAAGATTTCTTGATAACCAATGAAAGTGCTGGACCACAGCCTGCAGGATGGATGGGTACGGCAAATATTCTAGTGTTAATTTTCGTTGCGGTAATTAATAGTTCCCAGCTGCGTCATGTCAAATGAGAGTGAGATGAGGACCCACAATTTTTCTCATTACCAAATGTGTTTTGTTTTTTGTTCAGAGCTTTCTGCAGCATCTTCTAATTTATATTAGTTTGCTGCTGTTTTGCTTTTACTTCTTAAGGGCGCCTTTGGAAATTGGTGCAAGGGAATGACGTTTATGACATTGCTTTCAAGTTAGGCGTGTCTAACTTGGTGAAACACCCCGGAGGAAAAAAGGGGGGACTTAAAACACAAAACTTACAAATATTTTGTCACATGCACAGAAAGAATTGACTTTCTAACTCATCCAAAGTCCACCGGGCTGGGAAAATGGTTAAATTTCATCCTGTGTGAACCAGGATTTCTACAGCCGCACATTTTCATATTGGGAAAAAATGTCACTATTGTGAGCAGTTCAACCTCAGCACTTTCAAATATAAAACATCGTATATTTGAGCAACCATCTTCACAGGATTGCTTAGGTTTTGGAGGAGAAGGAGGAGGAGGACGAGGAGGAGGACGAGGAGGAGGAGGAGGAGGAGGAGAAGAAGAAGAAGAAGAAGAAGAAGAAGAAGAAGAAGAAGAAGAAGAAGAAGAAGAAGAAGAAGAAGAAGAAGAAGAAGAAGAAGAAGAAGAAGAGGAGGAGGAGGAGGAGGAGGAGGAGGAGGAGGAGGAGGAAGAGGAAGCTATTTGGTTGTGTCCAACTCTGCCAGGTTCCTCCACATCTTCCGATCTTGCACTACTTCTTTGAGTTGTTCTATGCTCTGGTTGGTGTCAGCTTTGAAAGCGTGCAAAACCCATTTTCTTTGGCAGCCTGGTGTCCTTTGGCCTGCTAACTCTTCCAAATATAACCGCTTTCTCCAGTGAGTTCCTGCACATGACATGGCCAAAGTAAGCAAGACGTAGTTTCTTGATTTTGCCTTCCGGTGAACTGTCTGGTGTTATGTGCTCCAATTTTCTGTACAAATATTGTCCCTTCCGGCAAACTGTTGGCCATTGTGATTTAAGAATGAGAAGATAAGAGGCAAGGGAGAAGATAAGAATTCTTCTGTGGCATGAATTGAGCATAGGTTTGGGTGATGGGCTGGCAATCCAGGAGTCCAGCCACAGTGTGCTGTTATTAACCGCCTGCCCTTATGTGTACGTACTTGAAAATAAACCACAATCTACTCCGATTTATTACAAAGCCGCACAAAAGGGCAGCATGCAAGATAAGTTTTAAAAAATCTGGGCAGAAGTCAATCCTGCTGAATCCGCAGCCAATGACTTTCTGCCCTTTAAAACGATCAACGGGGGAAGTAAGGACCCCCAAGCTGCTCGCAGACCTTTAAACCTTCTGCATTTCAGAAATGTTCCCCAGTAGAGATCCATATTTTGCGTGAACACACGCGAAGCACTTGGAAGCTCTCTTCGATGGGGTTTGGCACTGGATAAGCCCTAAATTAGATCGTATTTGTTCTTTGAAAATACCCACAAATGTTTGCCTAATTAAACAGAAGCATTATCATACGGATTTATTAGCTTAC